TGTCCAAACCAAAAGAGATGGATCTAGATTCACCTTATTTTTATGTTTCAAGATGCTATAGAGCTCCAAGACACTGACCTAAAAACTCTTAGAAGCATGATTCGGAGCTTACAATTTTTGATGTGAATAACAGATTACCTAGGGACCTTGTCAAAATACAGTCCCCTTCAGTGAAATCTTGAGGGAACATGCCATTTTTCACTTGGTATAAACTGGCAGGCATGACAATGCTGCTGCTGATCTGACAGTAGCCCAGCTAGACGACTTAATTTGCTAATTTTCAAAACATTTCTGGTCATAGACGTCTCAAATACTACCATCTCAACACTTACTTCTTTCATTGACATTGGTCCTACACAGCACATTGAGCCCAGTTTTCAGTGTTCAGATTTTACATAAAAGACAAGCAGTTTTACATCTATTTACAATGGGTATAAGAATTTTGCTTTAAAAAATGTCTCCGGTTTAGGATGAAAGACAAAGTCTAACAAAAGTTTACAACTATTTAAATCAGTGTCCAACTTGCTAATCAGCAAGAGAGAGGACTTTTCTTACTGTGAAACTTTCCAAATGCCCAAAAGCCTGTGAGATTCTTCAGTCATATTAGAAAAATCTTGTAACTACTTTTTTAAACTCAGAATATGTGGCTCTGTCAACTCTAGTAGAGATTTTGAAGTGTGTGGGGTTTTTTTTTTGTTTTGTTTTGATGTTTTTTCCTTTTCTCATAATGTTCTACCAAGAACCAAGGAAGTGGATAAAATGAATGCTCCCAAACCTGTTTACATGACCAAGTTTATGCTCAATCTCCTTATCAAGATAACTGTCAACATGAATTGCTCCAAGAAAGAGATACTGACCAACTCTGACTTTGACTTCTTTGAACCAACTTTGACTACTTTAAATTCTACTGATACAATGGAGTTAGTCACTTTGGGCACAATACAATATTGTGATTCAAAGTCAAACTGATTTTGGCTTAAACATTCCTAACATGTTACCATAGTAGGGGAGCATGCTTATTTCTCAGTCTTCATTTGGAAACAACAAAATTTTGTTAAAGCTTTAGATTAGGTCTTTAGAGGCTGATAAGACGGCTCAGTGGATAAAGACACTTATTATCAAGCCTGACAACTCAAGTTCATCCCCATGGTAGAGAGACCTAACCCATATGCACTTGATGCAAGCACACACAGAGTTAATAAGTAAACATAAAATAGAAAGATAAAATTTTCTCTTAGAAGTTTGGTTGCTAAGTATAACACATTTAGTATGACATATAAATCTCTTAGGTATGTGCGTATATAGGTTTCTATGTAAAGATAGAGATATATTGTCTATAAAATAAAATCACATTTTCTAAGGTTTTAAATGTTTGTGAGATTGTATTTACAGTTTGAGACAAAGGCAAAAAAATTAATAGCAATAATAGAACACAATTTTTAAAAATTTTTTTGGTTTTGTCTCTTGTAACACCAGTGCCTAGAACAGTATATAAAATACAGCAGTTATGCACTAGAACTTGCTGAGTTACAAATGGGAAGTATTTCTGAATACAAACTATGTGTCTAATACTATTATAATGGCTTATATCTACTATTTCATTTAACCATAATGTTTTAAAAATTGGTATTATCATCTGGGTGAGGTAGCACACACATTTAGTGACAGTACTCAGGAGGCAGAGGCAGGCCTGTGAGTTTGAAGACAACCTGGTCTACAAAGCATGTTCCAGGCCAGAGAAACCATCTCAGGGGGGAAAAAAAATTGGCATTACAATCTTCATTTACAAAACAGTAAGGCACATGATTAAATTACTTGTCCAGAATCAAATTAACAGTAATAGTATAATTAGCTACTAATATAAAACCTGAACATTAAGATAAAAACTTCAACATATCACTATCATGCCAAAAAAATAAGCAAACAAAATACTTATAATCTGCCTGAATTTACACTATATTTTCAAAGGATCTCAAAACACATGTAAGCTGATCTGGAGAATAGGTTCAGCAGTTAAGAGCACTTGTGGCTCTTACAGAGGATCCAGGTTTGATTCCCAGCACTGGGTGACATGGTGGCTCACAACCCTCTGTAACTCTAGTCTCAGGGAACCTGAAGCCCTCTTCTGACCTCCATGAATACCAGGCATTCATGTACACATGGTACACATACATACATGCAGGGAAAATATTCATACATATAAAACAATAAAATAAGTCTTTTAAAAATTAGAAATAATTACATGTAACCAGTATGTTCTAAGCACTATTTGTTGAATTCAAATCAAGATATTTATTGAAATGTACATGTCTAGTTGGCTTAATACCTCATGAATTTAAGAAGTAATATACTACCTATATTAAAGAGCTTTATACATTATTGTTCTAAACTACACTGGATTTTCAAGTTTCACAATTTTTTAAAACCAATTCTACTTTACAGTAAGTAATTCACTATGGCTCATGTATTTCTATACTAACACACAAATCTCAGGAAGTCAGAATAGTTTACCTGGTTGAGCAAGTATAGAATCTTTGTCAAGATATGCAAGCATCTTCTCGGATTGATGGGGGTTTCATTGAATATGCGTGCCTACAGAAATATGCAAAACAGTATGCTATATATAGTGTAATTTCTACCACAGAGGACAACAAATCATCCTTAGTAACATTAACATCATGTTAGTAAAATATCCAAATAATGTCAATTGTCGATGCTCTCAAGTTATGATGGTATACAATAAGTTATTGGATGTGACCTGGACTTTCCTATTTATTCCCTTAGGTTGACTATTTTAACTTTAAAGACTTTACCAGAACCTGTCTACATATGAACATCAAGAGTTTGATATCTGGGCCACCTTTAATCCCAGCACTCAGGAGGCAGAGGCAGGTGGATCTCTGTGAGTTCGAGGACGGGCTGGTCCAACAGCCTCCAAAACAATACCTAGAAACCCTGTCTCATAAAAAAAAAAAAAAAGAGTTTGATATCTGTAAAGTCTTCCAATAACCTTGCACTTAACACTACTTCTTCAAGTATTTCATTAAAATCCCCCAGCACCCAAAAGAGCCTGTAGGTCTACATTTCTATGGTTCCAGACTGTCCTTTTCCCTCTATCTATCCTCTGCACTCGGTTATACTCCTTCAGTATAAATATTTATACATAAATGTTATAATTATATATATAATATATAAATTTATATATAGCCTGGCAGTGGTGGCACATGCCTTTAATCCCAGCACTTGGGAGGCAGGGACAGGCCTCCAAAACCACAGAGAAATTCTGTCTTCAAAAAACCAAAACCAAAACAAAACAAAGTATATATATATATATATATATATATATACATATATATATATATGTATATATATGCATATATATTAATATATAGACGAAAAATCCATTTCTTTGACCAAATGTAGGGAAGAGTGATGTTTAGCCTGTCAGATGGGTCTATGCTCCTTCATTCTTATTCTGGGTGTCCTGACTTAAGTACCTCAGAGTTTCTTTGCCCACCATTCTCAAACAGAGTCGACAAGGTACTGTACACATTCAAGTCATACCTCCTGCAAGACAGCACTCTTCTCCAAATGCTGGAAAGGATTGGAACCACTGCCTATAGTGTAAGAAAAAGAGAAGGGTCTTCAGTAGCTGTCCTACAGAGAGTTTTCCAGAGAAGGATATGGCATGCTTGGGAATTCTCACCTAAACAGTATGGTCCTTTGGAAGTCACAAGGACAACTAATATGCAAATAAGTTGGATGAAGTAGTTTTGATTCTGGTACAAATTCTGTCTTTGCCATACTGAGAACGCTTGACTTTCTCTGGATACAGGAACCCTGTCCAAAGTGGGTGCCTTCATTCCTTGCTGCCCCCGCCCCCTTTCCCATGGATGTCAACAAATGTGTCGTTTCCACCACCACCGCCAAGAGTAATGAGATGACAGGACACTATGGATTTCCCTGAAAGCAAGCCCTGTTGTATGTGTTTCACACATTTACTGAAGCAGAAAGGAACGGTTTCGCAGAGAATCACAAATGTAAAGAGGCCATGCAGGATGAGGCCATGGAGGTCCACTAACCCAACCTTCCACCACACTTGTGGGAGCAGCTACCACTGAAGAGCTGGAGATTTTTATTTTTTTTTTTGAAGAGGCTTGGCATCTTCCCCACTTGCACTGCACCACAGACAGGTATCAACACGCAAGTCACTTCTGGATGCCTGCGCATTCAATGAGCTGTGTCCCACCGGGCAGTCTTAACCCCTGGGAACAGGAGAATCAAGGCCCTTCAGAGTCCATAAACACGCCACCCTGGCCCGGTTGACCCCAGCCCCGAAACAAGGGCTGCTCGCCCCGGGGCCTAACCCCACCAGCAACCCCAGGCAACCGAGACATGCGCGCGCACCTCCTCGCCCCCCGACTGGGCCCCGCGGAGGGCCGGCTCTGAGGGGCTCGGCCCGGGGGCGGGCGCAGGGGGCGGGGACGCGCCGGGGCGGAGCCGCCGAGCGTTCGAGGCGCTCCCCGGCTGGGAGCGCGCGGCCCGAGGGGAGGCCCCGGCGCCGGGGGAGGGGCTTCGGGCGGACCCCGCCGATGCGGCCGGTCCCCCGAGCAGGTGGCTGCGGGCGAGGGAAGGGGGACCCCTGCGCTTGAGGGTGGGCATCCGGAGAGCCGCGCGTACCAGACTCCTCGTCCTTCTTGTCGAATTTTTTAATCATCTTGGACGGCTTCCCAGCGCCCAGACCCACCGCAACCGTCCCAGGCGCCGCAGCCGGCGAGCGGAAGACGCTGCAGGAAGGCCGGCCCCGTGTTCTCACACCGGTTGGGCCGCCGGGCCGTCACTCGGGGCCAAGGCCCGCCCTCCTCGGGCGTCCGGGGCCGCCCTCGCCCCCTAGGGACGCAGGCTCGCCTTCTGCTCCGCCCACTGTAGCACGGGGGCGGGGTCAGGGCCCTGCCCGGAGGCTTGCCCCGCCCCTCATCCCAGCTTCTGCAACTCAGGTCTGAGGCAGCAAGTGTGGAACTTTATTTGGTTGGTGACTTCTCCAGGCCTCCTCAGTTCTTGGAGAGCCAGGAAGGGGACTTGAAGGATTTGTCTTCACTTAAAAGACAGCGGCATTTTTGATAACCCACTGCTGGGCTCTTCCATGGCGAAAGACGCTATCCCCTGGCACACATCTGGTAGGCATCTCCTCCAGGAGCTTTGAAAATGTCAGTGGTTCCCAAAGCATGTGCGAAGTTGGTGTCTCACTCTCTGACTTCTTGGAAACTATGACAAAGCATAAAACACATGGAATGTGCATCTCCGAAAGTACTAGAAGGATAATTAAAGGAAGGCGTGATGCGATCCGTTTAGAGGGACCAGACGAACAATTACCAAGAGGGTAGATTTTGGGACTGCCATTCTTGACCTCATGATTCTGGATTCCTTCACCAAAACCCACTGCCAGTGTAGTCTTCAAATGATTCAGTCTGCAGTCACGTGCCCCAGTACTTTCCCAAAATGTTTTCTCATTCTCGTCCTCGTTTCGGAGTTACGAATAACATACTTTTCCTACCTTTGGCAAGGACGGCATCACATTTCTAGATGGTCTTTCCGGCTCCACCTGTTCTTAGGGCGTTGTCTTTTGATGAAGGATCTTAACTACTGTCCTGGCTTCACGGTGTGGTTTGCCTCTTGGGCAAATTTCTAACCAGTCTGCACAACTTCAACCCAGATCTCTCGACTCTCTCTCTCCTTTACCTCCTCTCTTTCTCCCCTTCCCTCCCTCCCCCTCTCTGTCTCTCTCTGTCACTGTCTCTCTGTCTCTCTCTCTCTCTCTCTCTCTCTCTCACACACACACACACACACACACACACACACACACACACACACACAATCATGGGACATCATTTGGAGACAGAGTCGATGTTATCTTGGAAATGACGCCATTAGTAAACCGCCCTGGTAGATTGGTCGTTGTTGAAGAAATGCACCATTGTTGAGGAAATGCACCATAACTGGCCCTTTAGGTACAAAAGTAAACTAACAACTCAGGTCACCATTAATGTCACTAATATCACTAGAGGCAGACTGACATACTACTTTGTGCATGTATACCTAGATCATCCTGTTACAGACAGGGCTCTTGCAAAATTAAAAAAGTTTCACCCGGGATATATTACAAATCTTAAAGAAAAATTTCAAGCTAGGCATGATTGGCCCATGCCTTAAATCCCAGCACTAGGAGGCAGAGACATGCAGATTTCTGAGTTTGAGGCCAGCCTGGTCTAGAGTGGGTTCCAGGATAACCAGGGATACACAGAGAAACCTTGTCTCAAAAAACTAAAAGACTAAAAGAAAACTTTCTGAATATATGCAGATTTAAGGAGGATAATGTGTCTAATCCTTAATAATGGTATCACTTAAGATTTTACACCATTCTGATTAAAAGTACTATGCTAGGGGCTGGAGAGATGGCTCAGTGCTTAAGAGAACTTGTTGCTCTTGCAAGGGACCTGGGTTCAATTCCATCAGTAACTCTAGTTCCAAAGGATCTGAAACACTCTTCTGATATCTGTGGGCACCAAGCACATACAAAGTACACAGCATACAGGCAAAACACTCATACATAAAATAAATAAATCTAACTTAAATTTTTAAGTACTATGCTAATGATTAGAGCTGCCTCATTTGGCTCATAAAATCTAACCCATGTGCATCAGGTGGAATTTCTTGTGAAAGAATGTTTCCTCTTCTATATTCTGGGACTGAAAACAAACAGGCTTTGGAGAAGGAAAGACCAGTTGCAGGATAATCTTTTTTTACACTGTGAAGATGTGTCTCTACCAAGGCACCTTCTGATTGGTTTAATAAAGAGCTAAATGGTCATTAGCCAGACAGGAGAAGCTAGGCAGGCCTTCCGGGGAGAGAGAAAACTTGGAAAGAATCTCAGGCAAGATGAGGAGGTGGTCAGGTATACAGTATGAGGAGAGATAATAAGCCATGTGGCAGAATGTAGGTTGATATAAACTACAAGAGCTAGTTGGGAACAAGCCTAAGCTAAGGCCAATCTTTCATAACTAATAATAAGTCTCTGTGTCATTATTTGACAAGAAAGTCTGACAAGAAAGACCTGTTGTAGAGACCCTCTTCTCCCTTGGACCATCGTTAGGCAGGGACAGGGCCGTGAAACCTGGCCATCTTAAAGACCAGGTAACGCAAAGGAAGCCTGTGGAAGAGTGAAGAAACTGAGGGGAGGCTGGCCTCTTTTAAACAAGATGGACCACTGAGCTTCTTCAGCTCTTTTATACATTGATCCAGCTTTTCCCTCACCACAGATTGGTTTTAGTTGTACATGGGGAATTGTGGAGAAGCATAGGTAGGGATAGAATGAAAGAGGTGGAAGATTGGTAGGAGAGGAACAGGGAAGATTGAAGGAGCCAAGGAAACGGTGGTATAATATAACCTATATCTCTAAAAAATGATTGCCTTATGCTAATGCTATGAGGGGTGAAGTCTAAAGGCTCATCAATTGCACGTCTAATATACAGTTGTGTATTTGACACCCTGAAACCCTTCAGTGAGGCCCAACTACATAACGGAGAAAATCCAAGCACATATCTATACAATATACAAGGCCCTTCTTGGTCTAGACTGTCTTTACCTTTGGTGTTTAGTAAGATAACACCCCCCATGAGTTTTGTATGAGAGACAATATACCAGAATTCTTACTGTGCCATCTGTAAATCTGTGTCCCAACGCCCTTCCACCCTGCTCTTACCTCTATCTCAAAGAGACCCACTGGCCTCTGAGACTCACATACTTTTTGTTGTTGTTTCAAGACAGGGTCTCACTATGTAGCGCTGTTCTGGAACTCACTATGTAAACTAGGTTGACTTCAAACTGCCTGCCTCTGTCTCTCTAGTGCTGGGATTAAAATCATGAGCAACTACATTCGGCTTGTGACACACATTCTTAGCCTTTGGCCCTTTAAAGCAGTTTTCCAGAAAGTATGATGTGCACATATCCAGTAGGTTTTAGGTTGTACACAGATATACATTTTGAACTATATGTACCCAAATATCAAAACCAGGTTGTCAGCAATTATAGTATTTCATTTAAGAGGTTTTTTTTTTACTTTAAAATGCACCATATTGCAAAAACGAAGAAAGTGGTATAGATGATATAGTTCAGGGAACTCTATACCTTCTTGAACCTTCTAGAAATTTGAGTATCAAAATAGTCTAGCACCATCTTAACTTTCCTTCTACAAGGAAAAGTGGTGCTTGGACCCAGGACGAAAGATGCCAGCTCAAGCAACTGTCTAAGCCCAGTAGATTCTCACTCCAACCCATGTCTCAGCCTAGCAAACCACAGTAGGAGAAAGGAGAGCTTACCGTCTTCCTTTGCCTCTCTCGGGCCAGCTGGGGCAAAGATGAGCTTAGGGTACATTTTTTTCTGTTTCCTCAAAGCATACACTTCAGAATACTTCCCTTCAGTCTTGAAATCATTATCAGTGGAAAACCTTAACCAACAAAAGGGCACTTGGTTGATCTAGGGCTGTGAGTTAATGGCTAGCCACCTAAAAGTCAGATACATCATCAGAGATCCCAAGGAAGAAAGGACAATGACCAGAGGGTTAGGGAGGCTGTTTTTTGTTTTTTGTTTTGGTTGGTTGGTTGGTTGGTTTTTAAAAGGAGGGATTGAGATACTGGCCACACTACAAACCTTCCAGAATCCCCTGTCTTCTCAATATTAGATCAAATACTCCATGAATAGTTTCAAATAAAGCATTTTATGTTTGTTTAGAAACTTGTTCGTGCATGTGCATGCATCTGTGCATACAGGTGTATATGCATGCAAGTGTGGAGGCCAGAGACATGTGTTGGGTGTCTTTCTCAATAACTCTCATGTTTTGAGACATGGGCTCTCATTGAACCTGTAGTTTGCTAGACTGTCTGGCCAAGAGGCTCCATGGATCTTCCTGTCTCTACCTCCCAGTGTTGGCATTGTGGGTTTGGACCACACAGCCTGGCTTTTTAACATGGGTGCCAGAGATCAAACTTAGGTTCTCAAATGAGTGCAGTGATCACTTGACTGTGCCAACTCTCCAGCCTTCAAAGACCTCCTTTTACTTTCTGTCCCCATAGCATTTGTTCCTCTAGTCTCTAACTTGCACTTTTATTTGCTGTCTCCTTCAGACACAGACCTCATGAATACATTTTCCTTCATTCTTGAAATTATTGTCAGTGGAGAACTTTAGCTTTGCATTGCTGTGTTTCTTTCATTAGCATATAAGTGATGTCATAGGTCATATTGTCTTGTTTTGTTGCTTTGTCTTTCAAGATAGGGTTTCTCTGTGTAGCCCTGGCTATCCTGGACCTCTCTCTGTAGACCAGGCTGGCCTCAAACTCACAGAGATCTGCCTGCCTTTACCACTGGGGTGCTGGGATTAAAGGCATGCACCCTGTTTTGTTTCTTCCTTTTTATTGAAGAAATGTTTTTCATACAAAAAATTTCGATCATGATTTTCCCTTCCTGAGTTCCTCCCAGATCCTACTCATCCAAATTTCTGTTCTTTCTTTCTCCAAAAAATAATTAAATGCCCAGCAGTGGTGGCCCACGCCTTTAATCCTAGTACTCAGGAGGCAGGAGCAGGCAAATCTCTGTGAGTTCAAGGCCAGTCTGGTCTATAGAGTGAGTTCCAGGACAGCCTCCAAAGCTACAGAGAAACCCGGTCACAAAAAAAAATTAAAATGTAAGAAAACACAAAACCCATAAAAATGAAAATCAAAAACAAGTAAGCAGCCGGGCATTGGTGGCGCACGCCTTTAATCCCAGCACTCGGGAGGCAGAGGCAGGAGGATCTCTGTGAGTTCGAGGCCGGGCTGGACCGACAGCCTCCAAAACAATACAGAGAAACCATGTCTCGTAAAAAAAAAAAAAAAAAAGCAAAAGACCAATAAAACACCAAAACATAGAACAATTAAATTAAAAGTCTACAAAAAAAAAAAAAAGATCCATTGGTTTTTTTTGTTGTGTTGGTCAACTGCTCCTGGGCATGGGACCTGCCATGAAATGTAGTTAATATACCTAGTGAGACCCCGTTGGTGAAAACCAACTTTCCCTTTGCCAGTGGGTATTAATTGCAGATCGTTTCTTGGTTAAGGATATGATCCCATGTCCCCTTCTCACTGGTGGGACCCTTCTGTCTTGAACGTGGTCAGGTCTTGTGCCTGCCACCACAGCCTCTGTGAGTTCATATGTACCTCAGTCCTACCGTGTCTCCACTACCTGATGTCCAACTGCTGAAGACAACGCTTATGTATTGAAACACAAAGAATGTCTTGTGTTTTGACATCATCTATACAACCAAAGCTACACGAGGCAGCTCCTCTGTTGCAGCTTCTTTCAGTCGACCTTTATCCTTAAATCTCCTTGGGTTTCCATTTGTGTTTGCTAAATGGCATAGCAATTGGCACAGGGGAAGATAGGAGAACAAGGGAGCACAGTAAGAGCCAGCACTTCACCTAAACCACTGGTGTCCCTTGGAGGTAGGGTCACCTATCCGTTTCATAGGGAAGACTGGCTTCAGATCTGGTCTTAACTTCTTTTTCTGAGGCATTGTGGGAAGGTAGAAGTTCCTGGTGGGTTTGCGCTGATGTTGAGTTTCCTGAGAGGGGAAAAAAAAAAAAAAGTAAAGGGAAGGAAGTTGAAACCCTAGAAGTTTCCAAACTGAGCTGAGCCCCTGGACTAAATCACAGTGGAATATGCTAACATGATGCATAGGGAAGAGTGGGAACTCAAAAACCACCCCAAGAAGAGTGGGGAAAGACTTTCCCGAAACTCCTTAGTCATGGGCTTCTGAAAATGAATGGCAGAGGAAGTTCCTGGGTTAGGGGAAAGCGTTTATGGCAGTCAGGCTATGCCCTGCCCTAAGATATCCATACTTTGTAAAACTGACTTTCTAGCTGTGCGGCTCCTCGTCTGACTCCACTTAACAAAGGAGTATTTGGCTCTATTTTGAGCATAAATGCAGTGGAGGAGGATTTCATAGCACACATAGAAGCCATCTCCCATGTAGCACCAACCCTGAGGCAGACTGGCAAGTATCTTACTCCTAAACCTGAAAGGTAAAACCGTATCAGAAGAACCTGAGACCTTACTGGACACACCAGACCAGTGGCTCTCTCCTGAACTCCATAAGGAGGAAGACGCCTAACACTGTGATGGCAGCAGCCTCAGAGGCATGTCGTGTGACCAGTGTGTGTGCCAAGCGGCTGACTGGCAGGTTGAGAGAGTCAGCTCACCTTTGTCTCTGCCACTTGGCAAGGCTTACTCGACTTTCTGCCTGTCCACCCATCCCTTCCTCCATGCTGCACCTCATCTCCATGGTCCTGTGCCTCTGCAGCTAGATAGACTCTGCAACCCCGCCACTTAGCTCTGTGCTTCCGGGTAACCTTCCAACTGGTTCTTCTCCAAGTAGATTGCTAATCTTATCTTTTGCATCTGTGCTAGCCCTCGCCTCTGCCTCTCTGCCTCTGCCTTTGCCTCCAGTAAAGTCTCTTTAAACTCCTTAAACTCTGCAGCCTGTATAACCCCTTTTCAAGCCATTCTGAAACCTTCATACATATAGATGGATAGAGGCATAGACAGATTCACTGTGTGGCGTGTAATGTGTACAAAATTGAGAGTATTTTTTATTAGTAGTTAAGATTGTAATAAAATGATCTGTGTCTGCCAGCAGCCAGCTATCAAGGGAAATCAGGGCTGCTTGGCAAATTGCAGCCAACCAAAGAAAGCAAAGTCACTTGTGAGTTTATTGTTGTTATTCAATGAATTCTGACATTGGGAAAAGACACAGATGTGCTTGTCTCTGTCTCGGACATAGCACACTTAGACCCAATCAGTGAATTGCTTGGGAGACCAAATATTTAGCAATAAATTGGGGAACAGACCCATGGAACACTACCTTCCTTCCTTGGAGATAGCTGCCTTATCTGCTACATTCTTTTCTCAGCTGTGGGGAGGTTATAGAATGAAAGGTCTTATGAGGTAATAATTTTACCATTCCTAAAGGTCACATAGCCAAAAGCTTTCAGACTCTTAAAAGTCATCCAGTGTGACTGTCCATATGTCCAGTGTGACTGTCCATATGGCACTCATACATTCATATCCCATCTGTAATCTCCCTGCCAAGTGATCCTATTGTCCTATATCAAAAAAAAAAAAAAAAGGCAAAACACGTATGAGGTTGGTGCCCTGGCTTGGCAGGCGAAGGAAGGCACTTGTTGTCCAAGCCTGGAGACCTGAGCTCCAACCCTGGAACTAATTCCAGAGCTGTCTTCTGATTTCCACATATGATCTAATACACACATGCCTGTTCAGCCTCCTTCTCATGTGACACACACGCACACACTAATGTCATGACAGTGATGCTAATAATAAGCTTCCTCTTCAATCAGCCAACACCCATCTCCTTGTAGCTTTCTCCAAAATAGTTCAAACAGAATGAATCCAGCATCTCTCATTTAGCGTGCTCAAAAATGTTGATGGTGTCCACCACATTCCTCCTAGGCTCTGTTTCTCCCAAGATTAAAAAAAAAACAAAAAACCTTCAACTATTTGAACTGTTCTTCACCTGCCTTAGTTTGAATTGCCTTATTCTCCTGACTTATCTCACTAGAGAAAGTCTCGATCAATGTTTTCCTACCGTGAGGCTATGTAAAAGAAGACCTGTATTCAGGGAGCAGCAATCCCATGCTGTTTCCCCAGCCCTAAATACTTAGTGAATAGTCACAACCTCTCCTGAGAACCTGTCTGAATCACACTAGCTAAAACTCCCACTCACATTCCATCCCCTTTTCCCGACTTTATATGTCATCTGCGTGGCTGCTTCTTTGCCTGTAGTCTGCATGGATGCCTTTAAGCTTATACTTCAGCAAAGCAAAGATTTCAGTCGCAACGCCTCCCCTCCCTGTCTTCATAGGAGAGACGGAGCTATCAATCGACATATTGAGCTCTTAGTTTCATAATTTTGAGATCTTTTTTAAAATACTTGGAGTTACCACTTTTTCATTCTGAACCCCTTGTCTTTAAGCTGGTCCAGTTCAATGACACAAGGCTCTCTGCAAGTTAGTAGGCGGCAATAAACCAGCAGACCCTAGAAACCAAGACATAGTCAATGGCCCTGCCATTGAAAACAGCAGAGCCTCAGGGGCACTGGGCCTCAGAGCAAGGAGAAAAAATAACAGAGAATGGTGAAGGCAGATAAAGGAGCTTATTGCCTTGTTTGGTGATTTGATCTCCATCCCACAATTACATGATGGGCATGATGGGGAGAGAGAGCTACCCTGGCTGGTTGTCCTCCACATGTCACGCCCTCTCCTCTCAAAAATAAAGGCTTTTTTCTTTTCTCTTTAAAATTTTAAATGCAACCAAAACAAGCAAGAACGGAAAGTTATTTGGGATCCAAGGTGGCACTAGTGGAGAGTTACCAGCTGCCTTAACCATAATCTATTATTAAGTCATTCCTTCTCTATTCCTGTCTCTTCCACCTCCACAACTTTCCTCTTTCCCCCTCTCTCCCCCCTCCTTCTTCTCAAACTCTGAAGCTTCTATAGCCCTTCTGTAACCTACATATATACACATAGAGAGGCAGATGTGAGGGATACAATAGATGATTATATCTGTCTCTCTCCCCGACTCCTGTTTCTTTCCTTTCCTGTAACTTCAACCACATATATCCCTGGCCCTTGAACTACCCTCCTTCCCCATGGTTGGATTCTCTGATGGCATCTCTCTATGGGCCCTTTCAATTTTCATTCCCATTGCCTTAATCTTTTCATTTTCTAATTCGGGTGCTTAGAAGTGAAAAATCTGTGATTTTCTCGGGGATTTGGCGGTTAGTATGTTGGTTTTGTTTTGGTTTATTTGGGTTTGGAGGTACCAGCCTGCACCTCAGGTCAGTTACCAGCCCAGGAATTTTGTTTCACCAGATCTTGTATCTACACCTGGTCCATACTGTGAGCAGAGATAGGGTTACTCAGTCATTCTCACAGGACACAGTGCTAGGGACAGAGTCACTTAGACAGGACTGAGGGCAACAATCGTTCATGTGTCCTTCCATCAGCTTGCTCACTGGAATCTACACTGTGCCCGGCCAAGAATGCTTTCTTTGCGCGGGTCATCCTAGGACCAAATGAGCGGGGGCGGGGGCTGCAGCAGGACGAGTAAAGGACCAATGCAGATCGCATGCTTTCCCGTCCTTAGAATCAGGGCCTTGACACTGTCCACTAATGCGATTCCACTAGCACTGTTGCTCATGAGGACCCTCAGGCCCTGCACCTGACCTCGGGGACCCACGAGGGACAGCTTTGGAAAGAAAGCTCTTCCTGCGCCCAGGTTACATGTTTGCTCTGTTCGCTCCTCTGTGTTAAGGACAGCAGTCCTCACCCACACTTCTTTCTCAGAAGCACATTACACCCACTATCACAATAAACACTGAAGTCACTGTCAAAGGGCACAAATTCTGAGACCCAAGGGGTTACGGGCGAGGAATCCATGATCAGCGTACACCACTGCGTTTTGGCATCTCTCATTGTCACCCATGCAGTCACTACAAAAGTACTAACTTCCAACTCACATGTTGCTATAAGGAGAGGTCTTTGAGCTAGCCCACTCCCAGACTCTAATCTCTGTTAGATTCTTTTGTTTGTACTTTCACTTATTTAATTTCTTCCTATTACACTGGGGTCCACTCTCCAGGCTGTCAATGACTTTCTTAGATCCCGACTCCCAGATATCTCTTAAATCAATTTTCCTCAATTCCTCTGCTATTTTGAATTTTGTTCAAATTTTCAGTATTGCTTATCTCCATTATTAAAGTAATATCATAACTAATCTGTCTGGCTTTTGTCTCTTCTGTAACTAATGCACCTTTCTTCAACCTGCAAATGCTCTTCCTAAACACAAGTTTGACTACAGCCTTTTATCTCCTGGCACTTTCTCTTTTATATTCCATGAAAGTGCCTCACTTTTTTATGTCTCCGTGTCTTCTCCTATTCTTTTGTAGTGAGTCACCTCCATGATTATTCCCTTTTCCCCAACAGGGAGCTTCTTCTCTAGTCTATATGATTTCTATATCTTAAGTATTCTTGGATTATTCACATATCCTGGTCAGTAGAATTATTTTAATATGCCTCATTTTTTCAATCCATTAGATTCCAAGATTCTTCAAGATAAAATTCATCCTAGGATCATCTTCATAGTCTTGTCCTAATTTTTAGCTTACTAAATATGTTTGGCAATTATTTTTTATGTGTTGTTTTGTTTTGTTTTGAGACAGCAGGGTCTTGCTAAGTAGCCCAGGAAGAATTTAAACTCACAGCTATTCTGATTTCCTGGAACATATGACCAGGCATGAGAAGGAAGTAGGTAGCATCTTGGTAAGTTCAGTTGGCTTTCTCTGTGTTTACTCTATTCCCTGCCTCCCTCTGGTTCAAGCATAGGCTTCCAGGAGACTTGCTTGGGTACCATTACCTTGAACTGAAAATCCGGGGGAAAGTATTTTGGAGCGCCATCGTTTTCCTGCTGGCTGACAGAGCAGGGAGGTGGGTTGTTGGTCATGAGCAGTAAGGTCATATCCTGATCATATTCTGCCACTTTTATCATGAAACTATTGATTCTCTTCCTTTGGGTCAGGAATCTTTGCAGTTTACTGGCCTTCAAAGGCTCATAGTATTTGGCCTGAGTAGAGAGAAAGGTTTCCAGACAGACAAAGGGATTATGTTAAGGGAGGAATCAGTTGGCCAATTTTTCCCCCTCTGCAGGGGTAGGCTGAGAGGAAGAGCAGGGCCTGAATAAACCTGCCTTTACAATTGTTGATTTCAAACTTTTGGAAGCTCTCTGTCACAGCCTTCCCTTAGAGCTGCAAATAAACCAGGGGCCTGGGGAAATGCACTGGAAGGGTTTCCATAGTAACAGAACAAGATGATTAAAGTCACAAAAAGAAAAAAGAAAAAAAAAAGATAGCATCTATCCCTAGTGGCACAAATAGAAGTTGTTTGTGACTGGGCCTGATTGGCCTTTCTCTTCCTGTCTCTGAGGCAGAGGGGAAACCCCAGAAGCTCAGCTCTGCTTTCTCTTACTTGCCGGCAGCCTCTCTCCCCAGGCACAGGCGTTGCTAGCTAGCTCTAGAGCAGTTAAAAGGGGAAGACAGTCACGAAGCACACTGAGTCACCGGAGGCGTGGGTGGGAGAGCTTGCTTTTCTCTGAATAGGAAGACTAGAGAAGGAGGGAATGAGGAAGCATGGATTACACATAGTTTCCTGATTATGTTTTCTCTACCGAAGAATTAAATGAGCTGGGACCACTTTCTCCCTGAGTCTCTCCTTCCACCTCATAACCAAACCCTGGTTCCCCATCCTGGAAACTGGGGAATACTTGGTGGTATTAGGGATGCTCTGTAGTTGGGGCTCTGGACCCGTTGTTGAAATTCACCCCTTGAGGTCTTGGGGGCACGCTTTTCCACCTACCACATTTGGATGGATTGAGTAGTGTCTGAGGTTCTTAAGGACAAATTTTGAGGGCCCAGTCGTATCATATAGCTGAAGACAAGAAACAGAATTTAGTGGTCTCAAGTCACACCTCCTCCCCTCCCCCTTCCCCCTCGCCCGCCTGGCCACACGTGTGTGCGTGTGTGTGCGTGTGTGTGTGTGTGTGTGTGTGTGTGTGTGTGTGTGTGTGTGTGTGTGTGTGTTGTCTTTCCACCGTATTTTTTGAGACAGTGTCTCTGAATCCGGATCTTCCTGATTCAGTTAGACTGGCTGGCAAGCAAGCTCTGGAATCTTCTTGTCTCTTGGCCCTTCCTCCAAAATACTAGAGTTATGGACCCACACTGCCACATTAAAGCAAAAAACAAAACAAAAAAAAACCCACTTTTTTTTTTTTTTTTTTGGTTTTGGAGGCTGTCCTGGAACTTGCTCTGTAGACCAGGCAGGCCTTGAACTCACAGAGATCCACCTGCCTCTGTCTCCTGAGTGCTAGGATTAAAGGTGTGCACCACTGCCTGGCTAAAACACATTTTTTAAAGGACTGGATTTCATGCATCCAAGGCTAAATTCTGATCCTCCTGCCTCCACCCACCTCTTAAGTACGGGTTCCAGGCTTGTGACATGCCTGGACTATCCGGTACTGGGGATTTAACAAGGGCTTTGTGCATGCCAGGAAAACACTCTATCAGCTGAGTCCCATTCCCACCCCTGACCTGGGCAGCCAACCTCAGGTCCCTCACACATGCTGTATGAACCCTTCACCCGCCGAGCTATGATCTATCTAGTGCCCAAGTCACACCCACTGAACAGTATGGCCTCATTTCAGTCTCACTAAAAGGGTCTTTTCTAGACACTAAGCAAGGAGGATCTGTTCTGCCTGTGTTGTATTCTGAGGTTTGGGGGACAAGGTCTACAGCCAGGAGAGCAGGATCCAGAAATCCTGAGATATAAGAAGAAGTTTGTAGATGGTAATGTGGACTGTCTTAGGACTTTCATATAAGGGACTAGAGAGCTAATTCAATCCAGAAGTGTTTGCCATGTGAGAAAAGATTCACAGCAACCTCATAAAAAGCCATGCATCAAGACACATGATCCGTCTCCGGGGAGGCAAATACAGGTAGAACCTTGGTGCTCCTTGACTACCCTGTGAAGCCGGATACCAGTGAGAAACTATGTCTCAAAAAACAAGATGGGTAGTTCCCAGGGAGCAAAATCTCTGGGTAACCTCTTGTCTCCATTCACATATTCACAACCCCCATAGACCCTGACACACGAGTGCACATGCACGCAGGCGCATGCGAACACACACGCACGCACACATACACACACACGCACGCACGCACACACACATACACATGGCTGCATAGGCTATAGAGGAGTAGATGAATGGAATCACACCTTTCCCCTTCCTTTTCCCTCTACAGGAGTAAGATCAGAGGCTAACCCAGGCTAACCCAGGCTAACCTTTCAGGAGAAAAACAGCTACAAAAGGACGAAACCTAAGAGATGAGGACTCCAGGGCCCTCCAGGGACAACTCTGGCAACTGAGCCGGGAACTGACACTCACAGAAGAAGGGAGAACAGAGAGCACTTTTCATTTCTCAACATCTCCGCAAAATATAATTCTTCTAGAGATGTTAACAAAATAGTTAACTTTTGGCGACCCTTCTGTGTAGCACTCAGCATCACTGAATTAGTGGAAGTACTGCTGTTTGGACTGTTAGAGTGTCCTGCCTGATAACCCGTGTTCTTAGGCCTGGGTTATCCAAAGATGAATAAAATAGGAAGAACACAGGAGACAGAGGCCGTGAATTACCTTCTTAGCCTACTCAGAAATCAGAATACAAGGAGACCAGCGTACTCCTGTGCTTGGAGCATCAGTTTGGAAGAGGCCATGCCTCCAGAGAGTTAAGATAGGGTTCTGGGGAGAGGAGGAACGCACTGAAAAGGGAATAAAGCTAAAAGCAGATGGAGATGAAGGAGACAGAAAGGACTGGGAAGAACCAGGGAGGGAAGAGAGTACTGTGCTTCGGGGAAAGACTGCCGGGCGCAGTGGCTTCTGGGTTAGATGAGGACCGAGAGAATCAGCCCAGTCTCTTCTGTTAGAAAGGGTGGGGAGAAATAAGGGCACATCCAAAGAACCAACCGTTTGTTTTTGACTTTTGGAAAACTAACGTCTACTTGTTGAAAACAAAAGTTATGAAAAACTTGCTTCACAAAATTTTTGTGTGATGTATGTATTAGAAATTTTTGTTGGGGGAAAGGTTTGGAGGCTTTTTCCCCTTAAAAATGTTTTAAAATTAATTTTAGGGGGCAAAGTCTGTGAGAAAAACATTTTAACTTCTGGACTTTGCTAGGAATTGCTCCTCTGCTCCAAATCAGCCTGTAGCAGTTGACTAAACCTAACAATTGGAGTATGTTTTTAATTTTGTCAAGTTGACTTGCATTATCCCTGGTGAAATAAAAGTTGGCTTCAAAAATTCACTTGAATATGATAATGCTGGGAAAGCAACCAAGATAGCAAATGGAATTTTGCTATAAGCAGTGACCTTGAAGCCCTTGTGCACTGCTGGTGGGAGTGTAAACTAATGCAGCCACCATGGAAAGACCATGCGGAAGTTTCTAGAAAGAATTAAAAACAGGGCTACCATCCTTTTACTACTCCCAGATCAACAGACCACAGAGATCTATGCATATCCACGCTCATTGTTATACCATTCGCAATCGCTAAGGGGTGGGAAACAGCCCAGATATCCCATCAATGAATGGATCAACAAGTTGTGGTCTATACATACAATGGACTTTACTTAGCTTTAAAGAAGAATGAAATTATGGCAGTTTCAGGAAAATGCATGGGGTTCCATTATGTTAGGTAAAACAAGCCACACTCAGAAAGATAAACGCACTTGCTTTTCTCTCACATACAGAAACTAGATTTACATGTGTGCACGTGATGTGTGGTGGGGTGAAAGTAGAAACGAGACCATCAACGGGAGGAAGAGATCTCAAAGTGGTGGGTGTTCTAGTCTCCTCTCTGTTGCTATGATAAAAATACACTGATAAAAAGCACCCTGGGGGAAGATTCATTGGGTTTACACTTCCAAGTCACAGTCCGCTTTGGGGAAAAGACACGGCAGGAACCTATAGCAGAAACACGAAGGAATTGCTGGCTCCCTCCCAGGCTTGTGCTTAGCTGGCTTTCCAGCCCAGAGCACACACCCAGGGAATGGTGCTGCCCACGTTGGACTGGGCCTTTCTCCATCAATTAGCAATCAAGACAAAACCATACAGACGTGTCTACAGTCAATTTGATTTGGGTGATTCCTCAACTGAGACTACCTTCTAGGTGACTCCAGGCTGTGTCGAGTTGACAAAGCTAACCAGGACAGTAGATTATAGAATACAGGTGGCATGAATTTCAGAGAGAAGAAGGTCAGCAAGAGGAAGACAGAGGACATGGATAAACAGTAGCAGGAGGGGGATAAATGGGAATAAATTATACTGACGTGCGTATGACACATCCAATTGACTATACACATGACACATCTAATTGTCATATTGAAACATTACTTTGCCAAGCTTAGAGGCACACGGGCTTACAGTCTTGGCTACTGAAAGGTTCGGGCTGTCAGGATTCACTCAGGCAGTTCTCTGGGCAGCCCAGAGTTCCATGAGAACCAGTCTGCACGCAGGTGCAAAGGACCCCTTTAAAGGACAGACCCCTGCCCACTATGCTCTCTCATCTTCTCTCTCATCCTCTCTCTTATCTCTTACTCCCCTTACCTCTCTCTCTCTCTCTCTCTCTCTCTCTCTCTCTCTCTCTCTCTCTCTCTCATGTCTGTCTCCCCCCCTTTTGGTCTCACTATAATAAACTATAGTTAACATGTTCTCCATGGCTCAAGCTGTATCCAGCCGGTCCCAGTGCCCATCCCCAGTTCCCATCTCCTGCAACACTTTCTTTTTCCTTGTTTCTAATTTATAATCTTAAACAAAATAACAACAGCTACTCCAGAGGCAGAAGCAGAAAGATCTGAGTTCAAGGTTACACAGGGCAACTTTGTGAGATCAGGTATTAAAAGGTTAAAAAGAAAAAAAAAAAAGGAAGGAAAGTTTGTCTGGTTGTAGTGGTGCACGCCTTTAATCTCAGCTCTCAGGAGGCAGAGGCAGGGGGATCTCTATGAGTTTGAAGCCAGCCTAGTCTACAGAGTGAATACCAGGACAGGCTCCAAAGCTACAGAGAAACCCAACCCTGTATCATAAAATAGATAGATAGATAGGTAGGTAGGTAGGTAGGTAGGTAGGTAGATAGATAGATAAAAATAAAGAGTTAAAAAGAGGGTTTGGAGACAACTCAGTGGTAGAGTGACTGACTGGTGTACATGAGGCCCTGGGTTTCGTCTCCAGTACTACAGAACACACAAGCAAACAAAACAAAACGTTACTTTGTATGTTAACTTTAAAAATAATTTAAAAATGACATAAAAATAGCCTTGAGGTCTAGGTGAATTAGAAGTTACTATGCTCTGGGGTGAGTACTAGTTTTTAGTTTTTGAGTCTTGATTTGTTACTAACATGTCCTTGTTGCACTCTCCCTAAACTTCTCTGTTTCTTTTTCATAAAATAAAAGAATATAAATGTTTGCTTCTCTTTGCTTTTACATGGCAAGTTTATAAAGCCGCTGTTTGCAAGGTAGTTTAAGCAATCCCAAGGGAAAATGGCATAGGACATCCATTACTTGTTTTTCTTACCTCATCACCATCTGGACCTATTCTTTTCTCAAATTTAATAGAGACATTTCCCACATTTGAAGTTCCGTTATCGAGAAATCTGAAAAAGGGAAGGAACATCCAGCTGTGTTACTAACTCAAGTGCCCCAACTTTCTGCATGTTCTCAATCTCAGCTTAAGTTTTGGGGCTTAACTTGGGAGATTACTAATTTGGGTGCTCATGGATTGAGTGGAACTCTTGGCCAGCTGGCATGCTGAGAAAAGATTTAAGATTAAAGGGTTAAGCAGATACAGACTTTTCCAGGGTATGCTGGCATCCAGTAAGTTAACTTTTTTATTAGGAGATTTGGATCATTCAAAGAAGTTGCTCCAGAAGAATGCCCAAGGAAACTCTTGCAGACTGCTAGACTATCATAATACCTTAAAGACCACCTACGACTATTTTGAATACCTACCTGCTTGTCCTCCGTATCAAAATGCCCTGGCTTTGCTAGAGATGGCCTATTGGCCAGTCATGGAAAGGAATATAGCCAGGGAACTTCACAACTAACTTTCTGATTCCTGTTGACTTTGCTTGATTAATGGTCAACTCATTTTCCTAACCACAGCTAAACATTTCTTTTCCTAGAACTAGGGTAGTGAAAATCGTCATCAGTGGCAAATGGTTTGGTGTGCTGCCATTTCACTTTCCTGTCTTTCACCAGATACCAATTCCTTTTGAGGGGAAGGAGGAAGTTGCAATACCTGATAAAGTATTTTGAAGTCCTTGACTCTTCTTTTCCCATTGGTGATCGAACCTAGGGACTTGTACTTGCTAAACAAGGCTCTACTGCTGAGCTACATTTCTAGTCCTCCAAGTTCAGATCAAAGGGCTTAAAAGCATTCCCAAGCCTATTGGATAGGTTTAAATAAGTTCATTTTGACTAAACATCTTAACATTTGTGTCATTTTGATGTATTCTCTTGCTGTAAATACATAATAATACTGTTGCACCAGTTTTGTTGTAGCATTTTTCAAAATGATGTGTGTGTGTGTGTGTGTGTGTGTGTGTTTACAAAATAGCACAGAATCTCATACTCAGCCTTGAACTACACGAAAAGCTCTTCAATATCCCAACAGTGCTCATCTTGAATCTCCTAGTGCTTTCATTTTGGCAAAAGTCCTTTTGTTGCTACACAAAACATAGGTCCAACTCTGTTTTGTTTTGTTTTGTTCTGCAAATAGTTGGTCAACTAAAAAATATTTAATAAAGGCCCACTCTGATTCACACCATCTAGAATGCTGTGAGGGACAAAGTAAGTTAGCAGAAATTGGTGTTTATAGCTTAGTTGAGTAAAGAAGATTACATACTTGGTATATTTCTTTGGGCCCATGGCTATTCACTGAGTACTGGATCAACTTGCAACAAGGTCTAAAATTAGCACCTCTAAATGATGAATGCTCTATGAAGATTCAAGTCAATAAAATATTCTTTTTTTTAGCACACACTGTGTGCCCAGACCCAATCTTGATCCTGTGTGGGAAACAAGACGAATTAATAGAGGGGATTGTACATATGGAAGCTGAATAACCATGATGATCCTTGCCCTTGAGAAATTAAATGTATTTAATGAATGAGGGGAGAACGAAGGAAGTCATTATTAAATCTGAAACAAGAAAAGGAAAATAGGCGATAATACATTAGCGACTTCATCTCTTAGAAGTCTCAATTTCATCTGTAAAGTTAAGTTATTAACTGAGTGATTTAAAGGTGGTACTCTAATCTGGTGGCACTGGTGAGATTTAACCTACATAAGGGTTCTAAATGAAATGAAATCATATGTACAGTAGAGAAGGAGAGTCTGCAGAACTTCCAACTTTCAGTTTACTTCTTTCAACTTACAACCATCCTCATCTACAGCTAAGGCCTGAGAACCTGGAAAATGTGTGTGTGTGTGTGTGTGTGTGTGTGGTATACTTTTTTAAAAAAAGATTTATTTGACTTTTAATTATGCACGAAGGGTAGTGCATGTGAGTGCAGGGGCCTGCAGGGGCCAGAGGCATTGGATCCCCTGGGGCTATAGTTGAAGGCAGTTGTAAGACACAAAGACACGTGATGTGAGTGCTGGCAACACAACCCAGGTCCTCCGCAAGAGCAGTGAGCACTCTTAACTGGAGATATATCTGGGTATGGTGATACATGCTCTCTGTCCCAGCTACTTAGAAGACTGGAGAAGGAGGAAGGAAGGTATGAGAAGGGTGATATCAGGAGGCTGAGGCCATCTTGGGCAATGTAGACAGACCATGACAAAGAAAGACATGTAAAGGGGAAGGGAGGCAAAGGGAAGGGAAGAGAGGGGAAGGGAAGAGAGGGGAAGGGAAGAGAGGGAAAGGGAAGAGAGGGAAAGGGAAGAGAGGGGAAGGGAAGAGAGGGGAAGGGTGGAGCAGGGGAAAGGAGAGAGGGAGGGAAGGAGAAAAGACCAGGCATATGATACCTTTAAGGACATTAGGAAATCGCAGGAAGATATAATTCCCTAGTAGGGAAACTTCCCATGTTGAAGGCCACAATTCTCTCTGGATTCTGAAGGTGTTGAGGAATTTGTGATGGATTAGCAATCTAGAATGCTGAAGCACTCTGTTCTAAAGACAAAGACAGATATTTAAAGAAAAATACTCTGCGTGCTCTGCTCTTGCTTGTTTAAACTGTTTGCCTAGTGCTCCTCTCCCTCCTCTCCTGCCTGGTATCTCTTCCTTAACAAGCATCTTCATCCTGTCTCTCAACACAATAAATATGCCGTATGCCCACTCCCACCTTAAAACACGCTTCCTAGCCGGGCGTTGGTGGCGCACGCCTTTAATCCCAGCACTCGGGAGGCAGAGGCAGGCGGATCTCTGTGAGTTCGAGGCCAGCCTGGTCTACAGAGTGAGTTCAGGGACAGCCTCCAAAGCCACAGAGAAACCCTGTCTCGAAAAACCAAAAAAAAAAAAAAAAAAAAAAAAAAAACACGCTTCCTAATATTTGAGTCCTCTCTATGCTACTACTCAGGTCAACTTTCTGGTCCATGTCTTCAGGCATTGTTTTTTGCACATAGGTATCTTGTAGTTCTAATTGTATTTTTCTTACTCACTGGTCTTGTTTCCCCTCAAGACAGCTCCTTAAAAATGTGGATGTGACTTCCATACATATTTCCAGTCACTGGGTGTTTTGTATGTTAGGTACCCCAAGTCGGTTTATTTGTATTTGCTGGGATTAAAGGCGCGAGCCACCACCGCCCGGAATTTTTTTAAAAATATTTTTTAAAGAGCCTAGAAGAGATTTAGAACTGACAGCTAAACAGAATTAATAAGATAGGAGGGTTGTTGAGGAAGAAGGAACAGTACAACTAAAAACACAAGGCTGAAACAAAGGATGGATTTTTCAGTGGTGTTGAAATGACTGCAGAATGTCTAGGGTTTAAAAGTAGAGACTAGAAGCATACAGAATCTAAATATTAAAATGGAGTGGCTTCTAGGAAGCTTGTAGATTGTTCTGAGCACTGAAGAGTTATCAACAGGTCTTAAGGAAAAGGACACATCAAACACTAAGCCAGGCTTGGTGGTGTACACCCATGATCCACACACTTGGAAAGAGGAGGTAGAAGGATCAGAAATTCAAGATCATCTCTGGTTACACAGTGAGTTTGACACCAGCCTGGGCTCCATGAGACCCTGTCTCAAAGCGACAAGAACAGCAAAGACAACAGAACACACACACACACACACACACACACACACACACACACGCACACACGATAAATTGAATAAAATTGGAAATATTTTTAGGCTATGAAAATGGTGGCAGTGGAAGTGACAAGCAGAGACTGTAGGACTATAAAATGGTAAGGAAGTAAAGACAGGAAGGTGTGGCAACACTGGGGAGGGACTGAGTAATAATAGGGTCTGCTGCAGTCACAGATGTGTGCCGTCTACCCTGGGTCCTGGCCCTGAATGACTTGATCTCTTTGCCAAGAGTTTGAAAGCTTGATAAGGAGACACAGACGAAAGGTTATTGAATCTGTGCGATTTGCTGACGACCCCAGATCCAGCTTTTTCTGAAGCAATGGTTGTTTGGCTTTTCCTACAAGTCTGTGGACTTTGCCAGTATTCTCTCAAATAAGCATTTTGGGCTTAAAAAAAATCAATGCTCATTTCCATCAATTATAACAACAACAACAACCACAGAATGTCTAAGTAGACATTGTCGATAAAGCCTATAGTGGCTGTGGAGACAGAGAAATGGCGCCGGATGGTAGGGCTACCAGGATTGAGTAGCCATGGGATAATGAATACCATTACATTTTAGTCTTATTGTCTGAGGAAGTGGGGGTGCGATTCGCAAGACTAAAGAATAATAGAATACGAGCATGTGAGGAGGAATAAATGATTTTTGTTTGGGTGAATTTATTTGGGACGGGCAGGGTCATTAGTGAGTGGTTTAAATGATAAGTTTGAGGCTTGTGGTATAGTCTAGTGGTAGAGCTCTTGATGGTCATGTATGAGACACCCCAGGTTTAGTCTCTAGCATCAAAATAAGATAAAGTAAAATATGACATTAAAAAAGATGAATCCGGAATTTCGGAGAGACAAGTTTGATGCTACAGACTGGAATCTTTTTTCCCTCTGAGACAGGTTTTCTCCATGTGACCCTGGCTGTCCTGGAACTCCCTCTGTAGACCAGAATGGCCTTGAGCTCAGAGAGTTGCCTGCTTCTTCCTAATTCTGCTGAGATTAAAGGCATGTGCCACCTTTGCCCAGCTAAAGATTGGAATTTATAGTCTCCCAAATTCATAGGTTAATGTCTAACTCTCAAAATAAGGGTACTAGAAGTTATAGCCTTTGGGGGAGGTAAGTAATGCCCTTATAAGGGAGGGTCTAGGAAGAGCTTTGTCCCATCTGCCATATGAAGGCACAACTGAAATACCATCCTTGAACAAGGAAGTTTATCAGAGACAGCATCTGCCAGCACCTTGGTCTTAAACTGTCAGCCCCTAGAACTATGAGAGACAAATTTCTGTGTTTATAAGTCTCCCATCATTTTTCTTTAGTAACCTAACTGCATTAAGGATAGAACTGCATTGGGATAGAATGTCATAGTCAAGAGTCAGCCCCAGGTGAATGTGCTAACTGAAATAATGGACTATGAGACTATGGAGAAAAAAATCGTGCTCTGAGAATATATAAGGCTTAGGGCAGAGCCTCAAATTACACAAACATTGAGAGGATCCTAAACAGATTGTTTAAAGAACATGGAAAAAGAAAGGCCCGGGCTGGAAGGACGGTCTCCAATGAAAGAAGCTAAGCCTAGCCAGGCGATGGTGGTACCACCTTTAATCCCAGCACTTGGGAAGCAGAGGTAGGCAGATCTAGTTCCAGGACAGTTAGGGATAAATAGAGAAACACTGTCTCGAAAGACAAAACAAGCAAAACAAAACAAAAAAAGAAGTTAAACCTCTCTCTTGGAGGTAGCATCTAAATGGCTACTCCTAAAGGCACAGAAAAAGACCAAAACATCTGCCAGGTTTGGAGATGCATGCCTATAATCTCAGCACCCAGAAAAGACCAAGTAGTTCAACGTCATCTTCAGTTACATAGTAAATCTGAGATGAGTTTGGGCTACATGAGATCCAGTCTTGTGGAGAGAAGCCTTTTCCTTGCCAGCCGCTTTGGTTTTTCCCCGCCAGTCACTTGGGCTCTGCTGCATTGTAGTCCCCAAATCACACACAAGACGCTGTATTAATTATGAAGCTATTGGCCTTGCTTGTTTCTTACTGGATAGCTCTAACTTAAGTGTTTACTCCATAATTGTTAATCTAAGTATTTCTCTTACTGGAGAATAGTTCCAAACTTCTTACCCCTATGGCGTTACATCTTGACTCCCTGTGTTTCTCCTCCCAGAGTCCTCCTCAACTCCTAGTCCCACCTATCTTGCTTCCCTATGGTCTCAAGAAAAACAACTTCACAAAGATGACAAAAGCCTTAAAGAACAACCCAAGGCTGCCAATTATAAAGCAGACAGAAACTTGGGAGATTGCCGGGTGTGGTGGTGAATGCCTTTAATCCCAGCACTCTCTTCGAAAATGAGTCCAACCTGGTCTACAACATGAGTTCCAGTACATCCAGAGCTGTTACACAGAGATACCCCATCTCAAAAACAAACAAACAAACAACAAAACAAAACAACAAAAATCCAAGATCCAGTAGGCTTGAGTTCCTGAAAGAGCCAGGGTTTGTTCAAAGACTCAGAGATCACCTGATAAAAGATCATGTGAATGGTCACCAATGTCTCTTTTTAGAGACATAGGGGGTTGTATCAATCATAACTCAGGGTACACATCACTTCCTACAACTCATCAGATGTTTATGAATACTAAGACCTAAAGACAGATCTCCTCATTCCTTTATTTGGATGGAGTCTATGCTCCAGAAACATCTGGGTATCAACGATGGGGTCCTAGAAATGGTGCTGTGCATTTTAACTTCTTAAAAAAATTGTGTCTGGCTGGATGTGGTGGCTTATACCTTTAATCCTATCACTCAAGAGGCAGAGGCAGGTGGATCTCTATGAGTTCCAGGACAGCCAGAACACTGTCTTAATAAATAAAAATAAAAGCTCTCTTCCCACCCTCCACCCCCACCGTGTGACCGTGTGTGTGTGTGTGTGTGTGTGTGTGTGTGTGTGTGTGTGTGTGTGTAAGTGCCTATGGGACCAGAAGAGGGTGTCAGATCCCCTGGAGCTGGGTTTACAGGCTGTCGTGAGCTGCCTCACACAGGTGCCGGGAACTAAACTTGGGTCCTCTGGAAGAGCAGCAAGTTCTCTTAACCACTCCAGTTACCATAGCGCATTCTTGTTGGGGGGAAGTCCTGGGCATTTGTCAATAAAGCACTGCTGGCCAATAGGAATCTAGATAGGTGGGACTAGGAGTCCAGGAGGACTCTGGGAAGGAGAAAGAGGGAGAGTCGAGATGTAACAACATGGGGTAGGAAGCCTGGAAACTTCTCCGGTAAGAGACATACTTAGATTAACAATTATGGGGTAATTACTTAAGTCAGAGCTAGCCAGTAAGAAACTAGCAAGGCCAACAGCTTCATAATTAATATAGCCTCCTGTGTGTTTATTTGGGACTGATGCGGCTCTGGAACCAGGCTGGCAGGAAGGCTTCTCTCAAGAAAAAGGCTCCTCTTTACATAATGGTGTCAGGAGTGGGATTGAATTTCCACGCAAAATAACAAAAGCTTTAAAGGAATTTTAGAAACAGAAGAACAGAGAGAAGCACAGATTTTTGGTAGCAGCATTTTCTCAGGTGGGCTCTGTTTTGTTAGCGGCAAGCAGAGACTCATGGCTGGCTTAAGTTAGGCTTCCTGACTCAGCATTAAAAAAAAAAAACACAGAGGTTGTTTTAAGAGTCTCTACTAACAATTAAAAGGTGTGTATGTACAGCTGGAAGTGGCAGTGACCACATCTCCAAGCCGGCAGCTGGAGTCACGCTTACGCCTGCCATCTTGAAAAAAAAGTCAGTTTAAAACAGCCGCAGTTTTACAAATAAGACACGTGGCCAG